TGCAGTATGCGGTCGTGCGTTATCGTGGTAAAGAATTACGCCCTTCTGATTAATCAGCGCGGGTTCTTTTTCTCTTAAAGCTTGGGCTAACCTTTCCAATTGGGCACTATACACTGCACTTGTAATGGTTTGGTTAGATGGTAAAAGTTCATAATGAAGAATTCCTTTAAAATTCCACCAAACACACAACATCACTTTTTTCGCATGCAAGTCAGGTTTTGGCGTGGGCTGCGGAGCCTCATTTTTGTCCAACCATTGAGGCCGCCTTTTCAAATTAACATACAGCACCCATTTTTCTTCTCCGGTAACAATTTGCTCTAAAAACGGCAAACGGTTTTGACGAGAGAGGAGCGAACTGCAAATTGTGACTCTTTGATTACGGTTGTTGTCGGTCAACTCATGAGGAACCCATTTTCCAAACTTTTGGACTTTGCCAAGTGCACGCAATTGATTGGAAATTGTTTTTTGTGAACAATGTAAAGTTGTCGCCAGATCTTGTTGGGTAATTTGAGGATTTTGCACCAAAAGAGCTTGAAGAGCTTCTTGATCAAAATTGGACACACGGCCTAGACCACTCTTGTCATCTAACGAAAAATTTCCCTCGCAAAATTTCTCAAACCAACGCTGGCATTTTCTGGCGCTAACTGCATCTTGACCAAGAGCACTACAGATGTTTTTTGTAGCCTCACTTGCTTTTCTTCCTAATTGGAACTCGTAAAGCACGCAGTGCCGAATATGCTCTTCATCCGCCATCTTCTTAGCCCTAGTTTTGCAACAAAAACCAAACCAAACACAAACTTTTTCAAGCAAAACTTGTTAATTGCACTTCACACGTCCTGTAGATACCACGTGTTTGAAGGTTATGTCAATACAAGTCAACGCCAAGCAAGATTTTAAACGAATGTTAAAAAACGACATTAATCATTACTAGACCCGATATTAGTGAACATTTGTTGTGGGTTAACTCTGTCCCAGGCTTTGTGTTACACTTTCACGTACATTATCTGGTACAGTCTTTGTGACTATTCTAATTGTAGGGTGCTATTTTTATCATTCCTATTTCACAGAGGAGAAAACTGAGGCTTACAGAAATTAAGTAGCTTGTCCATGAGAACAAATCTGGTAGACAGCCGAGCAGATGGTCCATTTTTAGAACTCTCCTTAACCACTACTCAGCAATATCTCTGCGGCATGTATTCTTTGATGCCATGTACTCAACTGAAAAACTCACTGTGTTTTATGTACTAAAACAAACACTATTTACCCAGTATTCTGATGGGAGACTTTTTAGGTAGCCAGTGAGGCATGTGCATTCAGGGACTTCTGTCCGGGTGAAGAGGTTCACATACCTAGAGGGTCTTAGAATTGTTGGTCTAGATATAGTCATACACAGAGAGAGGACTTAGAGTGGGAACTAGCTGTGCAAGAGGCCACCTGCCAATAGCTCTGGCGTTCGGCAGAGAGACACAGCCCCAGACAACCCAAAGCTTGGCAAGGAGGCAGATGGGGGACTAAGCACCCTACGGGGCTCTGCTTCTGTCCTCAGTTTCCCTGCGAGGGTCCCCCATTGGCTGAAACTGAGATCAGTAGAATCTGTTTCAGAAGTCAACCTTTCTGGACGCAGAGGAGAGTGGAGAGAGTGTAAGGTGAATCTGGAGGGGCAAATGGAGAATCCCCCGCTCCCCATCCTTCATGTGCAAGCTGACAAGGCCTTGGGATGCCAAGTCTTGGCTCCTGCAGTACTTGACAGCTCTCCACAAGTCTAACCTTTCCCCAGAGGACAAGATCGGAACAGGCCAAGTGGGACATTGTGCAGTCTTGGGCCACATGATAAGCCCCTCCCTTGGCCCTCTCTGTGCTGACCAGCTGCCAAGTGAGGAAAACCAGGCCAGGAAGAGAACTGGCCCTCCTCATACACCTAGCCATTTGTAGCTCTGCCAGCTCTTCGGCATCTTTTCCATTATCTAATCATGGACCAAGTTAGTGGGTCTCTATGCAGGCTGGGGCTGTGACCATCTAGAATTTATTCCTACCAGCATTTTGCACACTTCAGAGCTGAAACCCCTTGGGAGAAGGAAGCAGAGGCAAACAGTGATGGTGTGTGTGTGTGTGTGTGTGTGTGTGTGTGTGTGTATATGAGTGTGTGAAGAGGGGAGGAGTAGAATGCAGCCTTCTAAAGGTGTGTCCCTGCTGTGCACACTTGCCTGGCCTCTGCAGATGAATATGTGGCTAAAATATGAATGAATGTGGTTGTATGCAGGTGCATGAATGACTGTTTAGGTTTCTGTGAATGAATGCATTCGTGATGAAGGGTGTATGGGAACCCTTGCAAGCCCTTGTGATGGTTTGCAGGTGCCTGGGTGGCTGGAAAGCATCCACTGATCCATGTCTTTACCACAGTCTGTAAGTGCTGGTTATGGGGAGAGAAGGGAACACTGGGTATTCTCATTGCACATCCCCTTTGTCTAACTATTGGCCATTGTCTTGTCCTCTCAGAACCCTCAGAGAATGAAGGGGGGCAAGGCAGGACAAGGGAAACCACGTGGTCAGTCTGTCATCAGCTGAAGTTTCCTCCAAACACTAGAAATTGTCCTTAGATAAACCCTTGCCCCACAGTCTCCTGACTCAACCTCAGTGCTCCTCCTTGGAGCTCAGCAAGGGACAGATGGGTAAGAGTGGGGGTATGATTTTCTCTGCCTTCCATTCCCCTGGTCTGCTAGCCTGGCATGGTAGACTCATGCATATTCTGTCCTTGTCTGAAAATGTTGAGGTTGATGAGATCTTACTCAGGTCTCTCTCTCTCTTTCCCAACTCCACTTCAGGGAATGAATAGAAGGGCCTCGTTCTTTTAGGAAATAATGATAAGCACAAGTGTTTTGGTGATTATCAACCTGACCTTGTAGCTGTGTCAAAAAAAAAAAATTCAGGACCTCTTCATTTTGGGTCATACTATTTAAATATATCTTGGGCTCTCCTTGTCTCCACCCTTACACACACACACCCACACACACACACACACACACACACACACACACACACCCCTTGTCATCCTAGTGGCCTCCAAGAGTGCCCCTGTACACAATGGCCCTAATTAGTCCCCTCATTAATAGTCTCAGCAGGGGCAAAGACTGAATGGGTCAGAGAAACCAAATTCTTTTGTCACTCAGAGGCACAAACTCAGCACATTTGAGAAGAGTGGACAAGGGAGAAAGGGTGGGAAGTAGGAATATGAAAAATGAAGACAATACAAAATTATTGTAGAACGCCTCCTCTGAAAAGAGGAAGATCTAATGTCCCCCCCTACATGAACGCTTTTGAGAGTGGAGGATATCACCCTCCTGGCTGGCAGGAGGGAGGCACTTTCTGTATGCACATATATAACTCATATATATATATATATATATATATATATATATATATATTATCGTTATAAGATGGACCAACTGAAACTGCATTGTTAGGTGAAGGGGGTGGGTGCTCCTCTATAAAAAGCAGATTTTAAATAAATGCAGATTTTGACAATGCAATCTAATGATTAGATGGCAAACTTAAATCCCCCAAGATTAAACCTAATCCCATTTTGGTGGGCTGCTATGCCTTCTCTGCCAAGCAGCCATGAGAGGAAGAAAGATCCAGAGCCTTTGCTTATGAATGTACTGTCTCTGCTGAGTGTGAATGTGCTGGTGCTTTGTGTTTGTATGAATGGGGGTTGCTTGTGCTGGTCAGAGGCCACGTGAGACACGTGGGGTGGGAATTATGTCCTTAAAAAAGATGAATTGGAGAAACATGTGAATGGCATGAACCTCTCGCGTGGCGCCCCCTTCTCCTTTATTACCCACCATCACCCTAAGACACACCTGTTTTATTAAAAATTAATTCTTGGCTTCCCACATCTCAATAGATGGCAATCTGTGCTTGTGTCCCCCCCTTCACCAGACCACACTGCTAAAAACAGAGAGCTGCAACACAAAAGATGCCGCAGTCAGCTCAAGCAGGGGTTATTTTTAGATCAAAAAAAAAAAAAAAAAAAAGAGGGGAAAGGGAAAAAAAAGAAAAAAAAAAAGAAGCAGCAGCAGTTCTGGGTTTTGCAATCTAATTTGGTCCCTTTTCTAAGGGGGGGAAAAATCCCATCCTTGGCATTTTCCATACAATCTGATTTCTGTTGGGCTCCTGGAAGAATAAAAAGAAGAGATCTAGGGCTGAAAATTCTGGAGTTTTATGGCTGATTCCAGCTAGTAGCCTTTCTTCACCAGGCTCCAACTGAATTAATTTGATACTATTTTTGAAAGTCAGTGTTTCTAAGGGAGACCTAATGACGCACTGACGTCAATGCAGGTCAATAGCACACACTGCTGGAACTGGGCGTGCTACACGAGCCAGAGCTGGAGCCTTTTCAGCAGCCCCAACTCTGCAAATATCCCCAGCTTTACTGGGGGGGATCTGTGTGTGTGGGGAGGGGGCTAGCCAGGGTCTTAAGACCCCCCCCCAAAAAAAAACACCTTTAAATGATGCATGTTTTCCTGATGCAAAAAAAGAGAAAGGAAAGAAAATCCAAGCAGATAGAATCAAACGCACCGCAGTCAAAAATATACAGATAAGAAAATCATACCTGTCGCACACAAACACACATTTACGTTCAGAATGCAATGCCTATCAGGGGGGTCTGTCTATAAATAGACCCCGATCCGATCGTGAGTGCCTCGGGACTCAGTCCCCAATCGGGGTTTTGGGACGTGGGCGAGCAGTTTTTTTTTTTTTTTTTTTCCCCTCTCTGATCAGTTACTCAGGAGGTGCCTGAATGTGCGGGGGTGGAAGCGTGGGAGGGGGGCTGCCTCCTCGCTCCGCTCCTTCCCTCGGCTCTCCCCCTCCTTTCTCCTCCGTCTCTCCTCCTCCCTTCCCGCTCATCTCCCCTCTCTTCTGCCTCCTCTATTCCATTCTCATTTCCTCTCTTTCTCTCGTCTCCCTCTCTCCTTCAGCCTTCCCCACCCTCTGTCTTTCTCTCCCCTCCCTCTCCTCAGTTCTTCTCTCTCCCCGCCTCACCCCGCTTCTCCCCCTCCCTCTCCCACCAAGTCTGGCACTGAACGCGAACTGTTTTGCTTTGCTTGGGGAAGAGTGCAGACATAACGTGAAATCCCCAGCTTATTTATTTATTTATTTATTTTGCGTGGTGCATTTAAAACGCTCCCTTATTTATATTACCCTCATCCCCTCACCTCTCCCACCCCCGCACCGGTCCTTCCAAATTTCCCTAGAAATCCGTGCAAAGCGTGCGGAAGGGGAAAACATTTGCACAAAAAGTGAAGGAGCTCGCCAAGGTAGGTGATACCGTGCACTGTCTTGTGTTTGCCTTTTGCAAAGTTTATGATGTCCGTTGGTGAATGTTTGGAGGAGTGTATCTGTGTGACTGGCCATGATTACTGTGTTTTTCATTGAATACTTATATGTGTACAAATTACCTAGACTTCTTGAGCAGGCTTGGGGGGGGGGGGGTGTGTGTGTGTGTGTGTGTGTGTGTGTGTGTGTGGGGGGGGGGGAAAGAAAGAGGGGTTGGGGAAGGCTGAAGAAGAGAGGGAGAAGAGAGGGTTGTAGAAGGCATGACAGTTGGGAGATAATGTGGTGGTGGTATACTGGGGAGGGGGTGCTGTCTGGTCTCCCCCCACCCTAATGTTTTGTGGTGTCAGGGGGATGGGAGGGTGGAGGGGGATTATGCAGTGAGCAAGTGCTTCTTCCACTCTGTCATATTTTGGACTGATTCTCATCCACTAATTGTCTTCATTATTGTAATTATTTTGCACATAAAAATGTAGTTCCCAAAAGGCAAAGGGGGGGGGGGGGGGGGAGAGATAAAGAGTCAGAAAATGGTGGTCCTTATGGTAATGGTAACATTTGCAAAAAGAAGTTAATCTCTCTCCCCACTATTTGGAGAAAATACTAAGTCTTTAGTGGGTGCAAGCAAAAGCAGTTTGTTTTTTTAAAATCCCGATCAGTGGGTGAAATGAAATAAATAATAATAATAAATAAATAAAAAACCACATTCCCATTGCAAGAGCAAAAACTGCTGCAGCTCACAACCACCTGTAGAGGGAAATCTTTAAGCATGATTTCTTAGGGCCCGCTGTGCAGAGAAAACCGCCTGAGCAGGCGCCTGGCAAACTTTGCAGCATGAACAGAGGCTGAACTCCACTGGGTGGAGGGTAAAATCCCCCCCCGGGGGGGGGGGAGCGGGGGGGGGGCGGCAGAGAAGGAGGGAAAGGCTGGCAGCTGGCCACCAGCCAGGGCCTCTCACAGTCTGGGGAGCGGCAGGGCTGGCCTCTTTGCTCTAGGAGGCTGGTGTGAAGATGGTTCAGCTTGAAGTGAAGAAGCTAACTGGGGGCGGAAGCTTGCAGGATAAGGTGGTGGTGGTGGTGGTGGGGGGGTGCGTTCTATGAGGTCATGGATCGTATGGTGCCTGGTGCTGTGTGGAGAAGGGGAGGTCAGAGGCCAACTTTTCCAGCGGGGCCCGGGTTTCCCTGCTGCTTCACAAAGCAAGGTGGTTATCAACAAGTGTTTCTCTCCTGAGAAGATTAGTTTTGACAGAGACTTCAAGGGGTTCTTTAATCTGGGCAAATCCACCAGGCTTTATTGTGTGTGTAGCAAAGAGTCCTTCTTTGTTAGTCAGGAGCTTGGGGAAGAGAGGTGGAGGGATTGAAAAGAGGGGACTTTTGAACATCAGCCATTTGACTTTGGGCAACAGAGTTCAAACCCTCCCAGATGGCTGAAAAGGCTGAAAAGGTATTGTCACCCCCAACTGCCACCCCCCATCCTTCGTCCTGGGCTTTGTGTGCAATGGGGGAAATGTAGCCCCTGGTGTTGGCCAGAGTTCGTCCATGGGAATTCCATGTGTGAGAATTGTTTTTTTTAGCCTTGGGAAGCAGGCAGCGCGCTCTCTCAGTGCTAATATTGTGTTCCCCTGCAAATGATCTCCAGGAAAGCTGAATCACCGCCACGCTGAAGAGCAGCCACTCCTGGGAGGTGGAACACCTCCTTCCAGTGGGTCTTTAAATATATGTGTGGGGGCACCATTTGCATGTCTGGCTAGAATGCACTTGGGAAAATGGAGAAGGCCAAAGCGGTGGTTCTTTGGACCGGGCTGGTGGCAGTGAAGACCACCTGGATGGGAATGTGATTCTCAAGGAGTGAGTTGCAGCCTTTTCTCCAGCGTGGTTACCAACTCAACATGAATTTATTTCAGCGAGGGTGGGAAGTAGATTTTGGGGAGGGTGTTTGGAGGTTAGAATCAACATGCCGTTGTCATGGCTCCAGAGCTGAATAACCCAAAAGCAAGGATTACGCACAAATGGGACTGGAGGTGAGATGCACACACACTGGAACAGAGCCTGCTGGTGAAATGGAGGGCTGTCCACCTCGGCGGGAGTAGGGTGGGGGTGTTGGGGGTGGGGAAACAGAGCGGATGGCAACTCCGTCCTTATGGACTTGCTGGTGTGGAGTAAAGCCAGGCCAGCATGCCTGCCATCTACAGTCCACACCATTAAGGTCCTAGTTCAGAGGACGGCCCCCTCATTTTTTTTGCTCAGTGGCAGAAGGGGGACAGTCTTTCATAGCCTAGGAAGTAATAGGGTCACCTATATCATGCCTCTCAAAAGGAAGTTGTGTCTGTTCTTTACCTAAGTCAACAAGTGTTTGTCTCCTTTTACATCAAAAGTGGTTACAAGAAAAAGCGGGATCTGGAAGTATAGGCATGTGTCCTCCACAGTTCCCCAAACCCTTTGGTATCACTTGCTAGTCTTAGCTGGGGTCTCCTGAGGACTAAGTCCCAGAAGGACACCATTTCCACGCTCACCTTGAAGGTGTTTCATGGCCACCAGCCAACCCTCTGAGATCCATGTAAAGACACCAAGCACACAACACATGCAAACACATATATGCAGTATACGTGCACGTATGTGTGACAAGGCCACAACACACATGTGTATGTGTGTGTGCGCAGAGTTTTCTCCATTTTTGAGCTCATGAGCTACACACAAGAGAGGACCTCTTCATCTATCAAGCCTGAAGATGCCAGTGGAGAATTGCCACATCCGGTTTAGGGGTGGATCTGACGTCCCTGAGTGTATGTGGTGAACCTGAATTTGCCTTGGGTTTCCTCATACTCATTCAGGAGTGTCAGTTCCCCCTTCACTCGACGTTGGAGAGCATTACTACAAGTTGATATCTACCCACTTATGAGAAGAATGAAGTCTACCTTGTCCCTTCATCACCATGGATGAGACCTGATGTGTCTCCTTGGTTTCTTATAAGAAAATAAGGGTGGGAGCTGAGCCAGCTACACAATTCATGGAGCTTAGTATAAAATGAAAATGAAGGGCCCCTTGTTCAAAACCCAAGAAAAAGTGCTATTAAAGGGACTAAAATACAAAGTTTTTCTCTTTCTTCCGCCATCTCTCTCCACTTGTGATGTTTTTTCATTTGCTGTTTAATGTCGTGCTAAATAAAAATTTAAATTATTAGCATGAATTTTACCACTCATCGTTATGTTGTACAATGGTAGTTTTATATGCAAATATAAGAACACTTAATTCCTTTGCAGAATCACTGAGATTGCATAATTGGTATTTCATAGGTCGTACATGCATATGTATTTTGTTCTTACCAGAACAATTGAAACATTGAACAAAATGAACTCAACTGCCTTTATGGTATTTCATTTCTTATATGTGTATGTTCCACCAGCATTCTGACTTCAGCTTGCTGATAAGTAAGGAAGGACTAAAAGGAAAAGGAACTATGTTGTGCTTTACCCTTCCCTTTCCCTCTATGTCATCGTTTTCAGCACATGCAGGGAAAGAACACCAGTAAGAAATAAGATAGGATTCTTTGGTCATTAGTGTTTGGTAGAACCCTTCTTTCTGCATTCGAAGGGAGTTCTGGTTCAAAAAGCATGACCTCTAGGTACTGGCAGTGTTTCCACTTACTTAGTCTTAGACTACCTTTTACTTGCTTTGAGTCTCACTGAGCTCACACTGAAATTCTGTACTATTAGGATATTGCTAACACTGCAGGACAGCAAGGATGGTGGACATGTGTAGTATGCATATCTTCTCTACCCAGGCATTTCCCTGCAGACTTTCTTACAAAACACAAGTTCAAAGATAAAGTTATTAAGAATCTCAAGATAATGACAACAGAGTATTAAACCAAGCACAAGGCCCTTCTGAGCACAGGGCCAGGTGTGACTATACACGTCACATGCCCATGAAGCTAGCCTGGGCAGGTGTAGATGAGAAGAAACCCAGTCCCTGACTGAGAACCCTCTGGCTTATCTTCCCTCATCAAGAGAATCATCCTGTCTGAAGCAACAAAACTTCAGCAAGCCTCCATTTTTGATCCATTGGGATTTCTTTCCTTCCAAGTCATACTCTATGAAAAGTCCACCACTTCCTGGTTATGGTGTCACAGCTTTGAAGAGAGAGTTTATCGGTTAATCCTTCTGGGTCTCCTGAAGCCTTGGGTTAGAGCTCACACCTTGAAAATTAAGTATTCATCCAATCCCTACCCATCACTTTCAAGCTTGGCTCCATGAAGCATATCTTCTGCTTGATATGTATTTAGGTCCACCATCTACAAATGAATAAAATAATATTTAGCTTGTTTAATGAGTAATTGGACTAATTAGTTAGCATTTATTGCTTTTAGTTATCATTCATCTCACCACTGCTCCAATGTCTGCCCAGTAATCTCTTGGTCAGAAATGACTGGCAGTAAATTCAATTGATGTTTACATGGGAGAAGTAGAGCTTGAGACTCAAAGGTTCAAAAAGACAATTCTATATTTCTGATAGACCCCAGTGGAAAGGGAATCTTTCCTTTCTTCATCAATTACCCTCTAAGGAGCAAAGCTAGAGGGCACCTCAGAAATGTGAGGTGGACTAGATTGGAAATAGGAAGGCATTAAAAATGCATCCAATCTAGAGAAGGGAGATACTTGGTTCAGGGAGTTTGAGAGTTGTGTTTTTCATCCTCAATCTAGTTTTTCTTTCTTGCCTTGTTCTTTAGATGACAGCAACACCTTTTGGTTAAATATTTAGCTTTACTAAGCTACTGTGAATACTTAGAGAAAAGAGGGAGAGAAATTACTCTCACTTATTCTTTTGAGTATCCCTTACTAGACTTGGAAGCTGATGGCAGTGACAGCCCAGTTAGTGGACTGGAAGACCAATCAATGAGTATTTACTGCTTGTGAATGAGCCTATCACAGTGCTTGATCCCTGGTGTGTGTTTAATAAAAGCTTGCTGACTCTGAGTATGCCTCATTATT